ATATATATATATATATATATATATATATATATATATATAATCTAAAAGATAGTTCAATGTTTATTTATTTTGAAGAAAAAAAACAAAACAACATAGTTCAGAGTTTAAAACAGTTAACTATACTCTTAATAGAAAAAGTTTAGTTTTTTTAAACTGCACCAAAAAATAGTATAATTCAGTTTTTATAAAAACAATTCAGTTTTTATAGTACAAAATAGTATAGATTATCTATAGTTTACTGTACCTAAGTTAATTATGCCCAGCCTTACTAATTTGTGGCTCGTTATAGTTTCCAATTCCTTACCATTTTCTAAATTTTTATATTGAATTGATGCATGGTTTAAATGATTTAATAATCTTACATAAATTTCATTATATAAATCCAAATTTAAACTCACAATGTTATCTTCAAGTTTTCTAACTCGACTTCATTCGAATCATGATTGATCATTATATTGGCCAAATATTAGAAATTAGTCATTACATAAATTATTATTTTATTTTCTAAAGACAAATAATAAATGAAATAAGTTGTTTACCAAACAGTAAATTGTTAAAAATGGATAACGACACAACGTAAATAAGTTCTTATATGTTGCAAGATCACAAAATCATAATTTTTTCTAAAAGTAATAATTTAGCAATGGAAAAAAATAGTACAAAAGAAAAGTTTCAATGACAGTTATTGAACAAATCCTCCTCGTGTTAAACCATTGTGTATTAGTAACTACAGATGATCACTCAATCCCTTAAACTTAACAACTAAAATATCTTAAAAGTATTGTAATTATGTAATAAAAAGATAACGCAATTAATTCAAACACAAGAAATACCCTCAATTTTAATGTTAATTTTATTCTAATTAAATCGATTAGCTGAATAAAATTTAAACTAATTCAAATAAAAATTTAAACTAGATTCAAAACAATTCAAATTAATTTGATGCAAGGTATCTGAATTTCAAGTTCAATCAATTTTATTACATTTGGATTCAATTTTTAATCAAACCCACCCCTGATTAAGGGTTAGGGTTAGGAATGGTAGAAAGCTGTGGGAAGTGAGGGTCGATCAGTTGGAGGTAAGCCATCAAATTTACAAAAGGATGTTTGAAGAAAACAAAAATTATTAAATACATAAAATACTCGTAATTTTTTAAGTTGGATTTTACCTAATCCTAACCTTAAGAGTAATGGTATTTAAGTTAATGCACAAGTTACTTCATTATTTTCTGATTTTGCTATGTCTGGCTAAAACAATGACTGATTTTTCAGGAACAATGACTAAAGAAGACAACAAATAAAGATGTTCTTAGAGCACACACCGAGAGGAAGAAAACAGCATGGAACTTGCAATATTATTTTAGAAGTAGCACATGAAATTGTGATGGGATAGACAGGAAAAGTTTCATATTTCGGACAAACAGTTGCAAAATTGCAAAATTGCTACCAACACATGGAAGGCAACTTAAAGTTGAAAGAGAAAGAAGATGGCACATGTCCTGTTCGACGTATATACTCTACCCTTTCGGTAGTCCTCAAAGCCTTGTCATTCAGCTTCACCTGTGCATTTGCCCGTTTCTCTTCAGCTACCCTCTTAGTCGAAGCCAGTTTATTTGCAAACCTTTCTTGTGCCAAAGCTTTCATTCTCTCAGCTTTCACCTACAAATTCAAACAGATCCTAATCACTTACTTAAGTACTGTAATGTAATTATCTATTAACTATATGCACACTTCAATATTTTTGTTTTGCCAAGCATTGCAGCGATGTTCATTTACTTTGCTGTGTCAGATAACGATAGTGAATAATCCCATCTAGGTACACATGCAAGAAAATGTGCAGCTGTACAAATTGTAAATTGTACGGTTGTATGCAACCTTACTCAAACTTTAGCCCACTCATGAAAGCAATGCATGTCTGCTACCTAGAGGGAGGTTCTATCAGTATCACATAAGATATATCACTATGCATCAGTGTACTGTTTCGAACTTATCAATTACAGAGTACTTGCTTAACCCTTGTGCTATTTCAGTGGATCAATGACAACTCGAGGGAGTTTCATAATATATACATTTTCTATTCCCTGCATGGGGAATGAATCCAGGAAGAAAATACGAAAGATCAAGGTCCCTGCCATGCCATGTTTCTTTTGAGGAATAATTCTCTCTGTCAGTCTATTTCACAGACCTTTCAACTTTACTGAAATGTGCTTTGGAGTTGTTAACAGGCATCAAAAGATGAGCTATCATCTTCACCGTTTATGAGCTATGGGAAGATCTACTTTTGGAAGTGCCAATTTCAGAATATCTTACTAATAATATGCTAGATTATAAGAACAAACATAAACCCAGTAAGGATTGTACCTCCATTTTCTTCATCTCCATTTCAGCTTTTCTAATCTGGTGATTTTCCCAGGCTTGAATCTTCACCTCTTCACGCTTGAACCTAAATAAAGGTTTAACAAACAAGCTTTGTTAACCGTCAACAATCACACCAAATCCTTGACTCCTAAGATACAATTTATACCAAGTGTTTAATTTGAAAAAAAACTATATTATTACTTAAAAAAATAAAATTAGTGACAAATGTCAATGTAATTTTGAAACAAATCATCTCATCCCTAAACTCACCGAACTCTGTAATTATTGAAGGAAAAACCATTTTCCTTCAATACATAGAACAAGCTCAATAGTTAAGTAATTACCTGGCCATGTATTTGGCACGTTCTGCCTCATCCCAAGCCATTGCTCGACTTTCTAGAGGACTCAACTTTCTAGCTTGATCTTCAATCCTCTTGCAGGGGCTTGTTGATCCTTCTGCAGTGTGCCTAGCAGTGTTACGGTCAACCTCAACAACTTGCAACCCGTTTTGACCCCTCATTGGGGTTGAGGTCCCTGAATGAATAGGGCTTCTAGTTGCAGGAGTTGTGGCTCTAATTGGGGTACCAGTTCTTGAAGGCTCTTGACTAGCAATTGGTGTCATCTCAGTTCCCATGTCTCTGAAACATATTGATTGGACCTGGATTGTGTTTTCTGAAGGCTTAATACTGTTTCTCCAATTTGAGTCGTCACATTCTACCCTTTTGGCATCAGCTTCATATTGAGCAGCAATGGCATTGGCACTAGAAGTAGTCACCAAATCATGAGATGCATCATTGTCTTCCTCTTCCTTCTCACTACTTGAGTAATCATGCTCCTTCTGTGGCACAGGAGCTATCAGTCTCAAATCATCTGCGTTTGAGTTTCTTGGTCTGTTTTTGGAGTGACTTTTCTCTCCTCCTTTTGACAGTCCCACAAGCCACTTTTGTGCATCATCCCACTTAGAAGGGGTTGGTTTTCCCATAGTTGTTCGATGGTGGTGGGGGATACGAGTAGTAGCGTCCTTTCCTTTGTGAAACTCTGAATACACAGCACTGTTATTTGGGATCTCTTGTGTTGGTCCATGATTGTTATAGCACCCTTTGTCTTCTACGTATCTCATTTCCAAAGATGTCTTTCACAAACTCAATCTTTCGAGTAGAACAATGGTGGTCCAAACTCTACACAGTGAAAATTTTTAGGATCTATAATTTCTGCTTTAGATCCTATATAGAGAAAATCAGTATAATCCATGTTATGTATGAGATCTTGTTAATACTCTGAACAAAGATATATACAATACTGGCCTAATCTAGATTGAAGTTTAGTACTATAGAGCCTTGCATGTCTATTTAGTTGTATCTACAAACATGAAGCACAAAAATGTCAAAATAGCAATGTAAAGTAACTCTTGTTACTGAAACAAGGACACCCTAATGAACCTAGACAAATACTTCAGTCTCAAGCATTCAATCCTGAAAACCTTTTACCTAAAATGAACAAAGAACTAAATAAATCCTTAGGTGCAATGCTTGGAAACAAAATACAGTCACTCATCAAGTTACACCTTTGAATCTATGTTGTCAAAGTCTTAGAGATGTAGTATGAGAACTTAAAACAGAGTAAATGAAGCTAAAAATGGAGTTCACATAGTATAGCTTAGTATTTAAGAGAAAAATACCTTATTTCAGACCATGAAATTCTGAGAGTCGCAGAGGCAAAGATGAATTTTCAGATCCATTGAACATTATAATACTACAGAAATACTATGCATGGTTCAGAAAAAGGGTATCCTTAGGACTACAATAAATTAAAAATGGTCAGAGGAAGAAACATAGATGCATAGAATAGCTATTTATCTTGGGAATTGGTGGACTTTTTTTACTGAGCAATACAGGTGCCATGTGGGGGTGGAATCCACTTTTCATCTTCGATGTAATGTGGCAGAGGAACCGTGGATGTAGTATTTTGGCAGAGAATGACGAAGTAATTTACTATTTTTCATTCCTAAGGAATCCTGAGAAAGTTATACTAATTAAATACCTAATGAAATTTATAACTATATTTTTAACTTCTTTAATACCAAATGATTTATAAAATAGTATAATAGTTTTGTTAGAAATGAACATGAACTACATTTTGTAATTAATGAAAGGCATGAGAAATAATACTACTTTGGCACTGTTGTTTTTCGGTTGAAGTGTCATGAGATGTCCACTATGTAGGCAAATAATATTGTACTGTTTCCAAGAGAAAGCTGGTTAAAACTTTGGCTGTCCTTTTAACGGCTACTAGATTGAGAAAAATAGTATAAAAACATGACACGTGGACGGTGGGATGTCTGCAATAACATCGACAATCTGCTATACTCCTGAGCTGAAGTAACAGAGGTTTCTGACCTTTTTCACGTGATACTCCTACACTTCCAATAAGATGATACTACGGACAGTTTCATAAATTTGATTGTATTCGGAGGGGTCCATCTTGACCACAAACTAAATTATGTCATTGCAGTCACAATAATGATTATTAATGGAAAATAACTTAGAAGAGTGTTTGCTACAAGATAATGATAATAATGGTTTTAAAGAGTATAAAATACAAAAATATTGACAAGAAATCAGAGATTTTAAAACACTTCTATACACAATAGTACATATTTGCACAAAATATTGTTGTCCCATGCTTTTCTTATTTGAATTTGACTCTTATAACGATTAATACTAGCATATGTTTGGGTAGATTAATCTACACAAAATTGAATCACAATTAATTTGGGATATTAGAAAGAAAATGTGTAGTCCGATATATAATTTTCACTCTTTCAGCTACCATCCACCTTCAAGTTAGATTTTTTATCGTTTTGAAAAAAAGTTGAAAAAATTCTTTAAAACATTATTTGATCCTCTCTTGTTTTTATCTCTAAGGGATTAAATACTCGAATATGATTAGAGAAAACTTTGAACACTAGAAGATTTTCTTTAATAAAGGCATAAAATGAAGATGTATACAAAGTTTATCCAATATTAGTTATGGAGTACTATAACTAGGGATGACCATATATTTTGTTAGGTAAGAACAATATTGGGACTAAGATGACCTCATTAACATGCTACTAAACAAAATAGTATACTCCTATGTGTTTATCTAATAAAATATAAAAAGGTTTGCAGATTAAAGACAAGAAAGAAAATTTGATATTTTTAAGGCATTAAATATGATGTAAATGAAGAAGTATAGGAATGTTACCATACTTGCCAGAGGATGTGAAAGCTTCAGGATAAACTAGGATTAGGCCATATATAATATTCTAGGAAAAAATACACATTATCTTCAAGACTCAGATCAACTGAAGTTCCTACATGCTTAATGTGTTTAGGGGGTGGATCTTCAACAGGCACAAAATCTAATGGATAAGGAATTTTAACAATTTTAAGAAATTAAAATATATTATACTTCAATATATATTGATTAACTATTGCATGTATTTTAACAAATATTTATTGAGACAATCAAATTAATATTATTAAACTATAATAACTTCAATATTACTACTATAGTGGTTATAAAATAGATAAGGTAAAGTCACTCTTAAGTTGTCTCTCAACAAACACATAATTGATTCTTAAGAAGTTAGTTCTTATAAAATTTATACACTAAAAATGTTCGTCAAGAGTGCATTTTTAAACAGCGATATTAAGGAAGAAGTGTACGTGCAACAACCTTCAAGGTTTGAATGTCAAATCAATGTCACACACGTCTTCAAACTTAACAAAGTCTTATATGGATTAAAGCAAGCTCCCACAGCTTGGTATGAAAATTTAAGTATCTTCCTTATAAAGAATGATTTCACGAGAGGTCAAGTAGACACCACGTTCTTCAGGAAGAATGTCAATCAAAACTTCATCATCATTAAAATATATCTTGATGACATCATCTTCAGTGCTATCGATGAAAATTTATGCCAAGACTTCTTGATCATGATGCAAGAAGAATTTGAGATGAGCATGATAGGCTAACTAAAATTCTTTCTTGGACTACAAATCAAGCAAAAAGATGACGCAATCTATATACACCAAATGAAGTATATCAAGGAGCTTCTCAAAAAGTTTAAAATGGATGACATAAAGGAGATGAAGACTCCAATGAATCCAACCCCTAGCCTAGGGTAGATGAAAGCTCAACAAAAGTGGACAATACTCTTTATCTTCAAATGATAGGTTCATTTTTGTATCTCACTGCGTCTAAACCTGACATTATGATCAATGTCTGTCTTTGTGCAAAATTTCAGTCAGATCGCAGAGAAACCCATCTCAGTGCTCTTAAAGGTATATTTCGATATCTCAAACGAACAATATCTCTCGATCTGCATTACAAAAGGAGTGAGTGTTTTGATCTTAAAGGATATTGTGATGCTGATTTTGCTGGAGACAGAGTTGAACGAAAAAGCACAAATGAAGGCTGCTACTTCATTGGAGGAAACCTAGTCTCATGGTTGAGCAACAAACATAATACAATTGTGCTATCAATCGCTGAAGCTGAGTACATATCGGCTGCACACTGCTGTTCTCAACTCTTATGGATTAGGAATCTACTAGAAGACTACAATCACATTCAAGGTACGATTCCTGTCCTCTGTGATAATAATGTTGCATTTATTATTGAAGTCATACTGAAGTGAATAAATCCTACATTGCATTCACACGCTAAGCATATTGAAGTCAAGCATCGCTTCATACGTGATCATGTTAACAATATGTAAACACAAAAGATATCAGCTTGTTGACATCTTCACTAAGCCATTAGTTGAAGATATACTTAACCGTCTAATAACCCTTTATTGGTGTGAGAAGCGTTGAATGAAAATTAACTCAACATGTTAATTAGTGTGTTCATATAGGTGTGTCAAAGTTTAGATACTCAATCGTCTAGGACACATAGCCCTCAAGACGTCATTCTGTTGCATCGTCTAAGATAAATCATCTATAAGAACACTGCATTCATGCATTAGGTGTGTCTAAGTACTGAGCCCATCTTTAGAAGTTGTCTAGGATCTCCAAAGTCCAAACCCTCCCTCCTATCTACCAAATCTTTTGCGTGTCAATCAAGCCATCTTTCTTCCTATCAAAGTCCAATCTTTCTTCCTCGAAACCCTAAAATCTCTTATTCCATCGCTTTCCACTCTTATCCGTTGTTGACTAATACCCTTCTCAAAATCTTCTCGGTATTCAAGAGACTCAAAATCTCTTTTTCGAATCTTTCGTACTAACCACATTAAATGAACGAGATTGATCAATTGCCCATGACTAACTTTTTCCTTCTATTTAATTTGTTTCTTCTCTCATCTTCTCAACTCATTCTCTCAAACCCTAATTTCTCTCTCACTATCATGTCCTCTCCACTCTCTGAGTTTCCAAACCTTCTGATGTGTGAATAAAATGTTTGCATTCATATCTTAGTTTAGGCCATTTGCATACATAATTGCATTAATTGAATGATTTCATCATACATTATCCTGGTTTCGGATCATACATGGGGATTTTGTGTTTTTCTTGTAGATTAGTGATTCTAAGTGTCAAAATCACAACTTGGGATGAATTGAGGTACAAAATGCAGATGCAAAATAGAGAGTTCCACTACCTGGTTGTGGACAGTTCCACAATTGTGGATTTTGCTCCAAAATGCAGATACAAAACAGAGAGTTCCACAACCTAGCTGTGGAAAGTTCCACAACTTGTGGATTTTGCTTCAGGAGGTACATAATTGAATCCAGAGAAGAGAACAAGCAGATTGTGGATTTTTCCATGAGCTGTGGAATTTTTCAGAGCAGTTACTAACCTCTTTTTTGACGTGGATTTAAAGAGATTTAAATTAAATAGAAATTAAGGACAATTACTTAGGAAGAGTAACTACTCTCTTAAAAAGAGGAATGAGGGGGATTAAAGAGGGGGATTGAAAACGTAAAGAAGGAGGAAAAACGCACAGAGACGGAGGAAAAAGCTTCAACATTTCTTCTTCTTCTTTTGGTTTGCATTTCTGAATTTTTACATTATGCAGAACTAAATTTCCTTTTGTTAGAGGATTGATGTAGTACTTTGGATTATGATTTCTGAACCTTTTCAATTGATCTTTAGTTAATTTTAATTATCCCAGTGTTTTATTTATGTTTTAATGTCTATTCTATGAGTAGTTTCACAATTGAGAAATTGGGGATTGTTTGCGATTATAAATAAAACAGATTAGATGTTGTCACAATTGGAAAATTGGGGACAACTAATTAGTTTGCAATTGAGATAATAATTGTTCTTCATGATTTTATTGAATTTTGTAACTGACCTAAGGGATTGGGAGTTAGAATTCAATGGATACGTTTGTCTGTCTAAGGAATTAGGGGTAAACAAGATCTTAATAAACTCAAGTGGATAATTATAATTCACACATCAATTGGAAAGGGGAGGAATTTATATGAAAATGTATGAAATCAATTCTCTAACGTTGTTTATACTATTTGAATTCCCATCACTTGTTTATGTTCATCATTTTACTTGATATTTTTTGTTGCTCAAAATTACGTAAATTAAGAATCTAGTACTCAACTCATTCAATCCCAGAGGACGATAGTTTATTACTACAATAACGATTGGTACACTTGTCAAACGTTTATCACCTTCAATATTTCAAGCCAATGAAACCCTCTTCCAATGCTCTTGACCGTCATTGTCATCTCATTGCCTCACCAGAACAAGATTCACATGATAATCCAACCTCCTCCCCTACTCCTATTCTAAGAGCTCACCTACCTTTCACGGGTAGTTCTTCCACCAAACCTATGCCCTCCCTAATCTTGTCGGGTTGTGATGTCTCTTTTTTCTTTTTTTCCCCTTTCTGATGTTTATCAAATAAGGGGTAGAAAAAGAAGAAGAAAAGATGCGTCAGCATCTAGGAGCATGTACTTAGGGAGAGTACACTAGAAGTTAGGATATAATAGAATCATGGGGAGTTTCTCCATATTCTTAGAGTTCATCTTACTAGTCCATGTTTACATGTAATATATTTTATTTTAAAAAGAATTGTCTATGAGTGTTGTTTATTTTGTGATTATTATCTATTCATCTTTATTTGTTGTTTATTTATAACTATCTATTTTTTATTCTCGTTTACTCGTTTATTTGCTTTTGCACAATATTTTTTCGAATGTGTCCACTAACAACATGCAAAAGATAAAAACAAAAAATATAAAACACATAGGACTTAAAACTAAAAGTTGAACTAAAGAATGAATACATCGTTTAAATGTGTATTTGTTAAACATCTAAAAGGGAAAGATTGTTAAATTGTTTATACAAACAAACGGTCTCATATTTTGAAGTTTAATCAAATAACATTAAAACGAGTTAATAACCAAAAAACAACCTAGGATAATAACACAAGACTTAGAGCCTAAAACTCGAAATAGATAAAAACTAGAACCTGAACCCCAAACATAGAAATCATAGGAAAATACTTAGGTCAATAGAAATAGAAAAACACTTAAGGTAAAACACCCAAATGCATGACTAGACGATGTCTTGTCTAAAAGTGTCCAAGAGAGATTGAGTTAAAAGCTCAATGCTTAAAATACATAGATTAGGTATTTTGCTTCTCTCGAAAATAAAAACAAGTCAAGACAAGGTCTTTGACAAAAACATTAAAAGACTTCATTATTAAAAACACATAAGAAAGCCTAAGCAAGCCAAACATTATCTGTCTAAAAAGAAACAAAAGTCAAAGAAGCGTTTACTTGATCAAACGATCCCATGATCTAAACAAACACCTCATATTTTGATGAAGTGTTTATATACGTTTGGTATCTTCAACTTAAAGAACTTAATTGTAAAATGCTACCTAACGGTAGGAATTCAAAAAGCAATTTGTTGTTCTGAGCAAGCATTAAATGACATTAAATGCTCAACGTTTCAAAACAACAAAAGTGATAAGAAAAATCATATATGTTGCATGCACAATTTACTCTAACTTTGTAGATAATTTATTCTACACACATCCATAATGCTACATATCAAATATCAAAATGTGGACGTTAGAAATAAAGGAGATAATCATGGAATGTTCCTTTCTTAAAGCAAAGTCTAAAAAGATCATACAACCTACTTTAAGAAAAGGACTGAAAAAGCATGTTTGCTCTGACAAAGTTGGCTTACATAACACTGCTGTGAAAAGAAGAAAGAGAAAACACAAGTATCGAGAATAGAAACTACAAACTCAGTCTAACGGACAAATATTCATGAAACCTATAAATAGAAGAGGTCATGAGAAGAAAATCAAGAGGATATAAAAGGGTATAGCCAAAAAGCACAAAGAAAACCTTACAACGTCATATCCATCTTGAAGAGAAAAAGAGAAAAGAGCTAAGAGAAAATAATGCATTTAAGCTGAAGAAAAGAGAAAAAGAGAAAGAGGTACTCTCAAGGTTAAGATTCAAATTTCTTACTATTGTAAGAGAGAAGACAAAAACACCTGCGAGTGTTTAGACTGTATTGTATTGTAATCAAATCCTCTCGTAAAGAGATTTAGTCTGAACTACTTGTAAGCAATTCTTAAGAGAATTAAAATACTTGCAATCAAACTCTTTTAAGTTGAGGAATCTAGACGCGGTAGTCTAGTACCAAAAGTGGCTCAAATACTCAAAGGAAATCTCAGCGAGGTAGCTGAGTACTCAAGAGTGGTGCGAATACTCATTTGTAATCGTGTCAAGATTATGGTGGAACCCTCTACGGAGGAGACTGAACGAAGCTCAGTTTGAGAGAACTAGTATAAAATCTCTTGTGTTGTTTTCTTTTCTCTTAACTAAGCGATCCTCTTGAAAACCTACAGTTGAGCTTTATATTTCAAATACAAGAATTTCCAAGCTAAACAATTATTTTTCTTCAAGAAAGTTCTTAGAAAACACTACAGTAGATTTATTCTGAATAACACGACAAATTTATCAACGTGTGAATATATATATATATATATATATATATATATATATATATATATATGCACCAAGGTTTTTTTATATTTTTATCTAGGTTTCATTTTTGCGTAGTGGTATTTTCTTTCATTCTTAACTCGAGTTGTCCATTGTTATTGACCTTTCACGCTTCTAGGTTCTTATTTTGATGTTTAATGTTTACTTTTTAATAAGAACATATAATTTTGTAGTAGGTTGTAAATTTTTTTTTTTATTTTGGATGTGATTACTTTAATGCTTAATTGTATGATTGTATTGAATTAGATTATTAAAATTGTGTAAATAATTTTAGTATATTTATGTATAGATTCAGATTAGATTAATTCACCATATATCAATGTTGAGTACAAGAGAGGGGTAGACGAATTTATTCAATCTGCGCAACATAATGAGGGTAGAAGTGATGATGAAGTCAAGTTTAAATGTCTTTATGTCAATTGTTTGAATGAGAGAAAGTTGAACGCAACCGAAATTAGGGAACATCTTATCTATGATGATTTTCTACAAAGTTATAGAACATGGATATGGTACAGCGAATTAATAGACTTTTCAATTGTCTCCCAAACTGAAAATGTTATTAATTCCACCATGGAAGATCGACCTAAAGAAGACAAATTAGATAACATGATGCACGATGTTGGCATAGAAAATTTTGTCTAAGTGCGTGTGTG